CCCGGCCCCTGGCCACGCGAGCCCCAGGACCCTCAGTAGCGCCCCAGCGCCGCTGCAGCTCAGACACACCGAAATAGGAATGATTTAATCCAACGACACCTCCCAGGGCTGCCCAGTCCCGGTTCCGCCAGCTCCTGAGATTGGGGAGGGGCAGAATCAGGTGGAACTCGGATTGGGGGGCGGAAATGGCCCGAGTGGGAGGGAAGGCGCGGGGTCGGATGCTACCTTGTAACCGAGTTAGGTTCCTGCAGAAAGGAAGGACGAAGGTCGTCCACGGACCCTCGGGTGACCTCGGCGCGGCCTGGTGGCCAGGAACACCCGTGCGTGGACGAGGTCCCTTCCGGGGGTCTCCCTGCAGGGGTCTCCAGGGAGGAAGTGGGCACGTGGGTCCTTAACCTCTCCATTGCATCATCCCCATCCCGGTGGGTACAGAAGCGCAGCAACCCCGCGATGCTCCCGGAAGACACCGCGTCTCCAACATTTACACGGAGATGGTGCTCGGCTCAGGTCGGGTCCGTACGCTTCCCGAGGTGCGTACTACGAGAGCCACACACATCACTACCGATATTCCTGGGAAAGTCGGTGCCACAGTAAGTCAGCTGCAAGCGTGGGGTGGCCGGTGACGCGCTCTGCCCGTGAATACGCCCATTGTGCAGGGCAGACGCAGCCAGGGCGCAGCGTTCAGGAGGCGGGTGGGCAGCCGAACTTTCACTAGCCACGAGCGCTTCACCTTCTAGAATTTGCCAGGGACTAAGCATCAACTCCCAGTGAGAAAATAAAATGTGAAGTTGGAAGACACATGCTGCCCTTCACTTTTGTACGGAGTTCACATCAGTTTCAGCAATCCGCGTTCTCAGTTCGCTTTGCCCGGGCGAGTGGGCTCCATCACCTGGACCAAAAACGCACCAGGACGCGCCTGCCCGGGGCAACGAGGCCGAAGAAACCGCACGTTTCGAGTCCCCAGTTGCTGAGAAACAATCACAGCCCTCCTCTTTTCTTTCCCTTCTGCAGGTTCCGACCTGAATCCGAAAGTGCTTCTAAATCCCATGCTTCACAGAACGTTCGGAAGGGGAGGCGCTCCGTGGGGGCTGCTGCGTGCCCATGTAGCTGAACCGACTCGAATGAAAGCGTGTCCACGTCTACATCACACATCTGTGTAAATGCAGAAGCCTGCGGATGCGCGGAGCTGGCCAGACTTCACAGTGTGCAGACACATGGGCTCATGCACGCGCGCGCGCTCACACACACTCACACCCCAAATTACCTCCGGGATGGAGAAAGCCGCTGCGGATTGGCCAGCAGAGCCGTCACTCATGCCCAGGGGGCAGGGAGACTTCGCAAAGCTGTTTCCTTTTTTTTTTTTTTTTTTTTTTTGGAGTCTTGCTCTGTCACCAGGCTGGAGTGCAGTGGCGCGATCTTGGCTCACTGCAACTTTTCTCTGCTCTCCTCCCTACCGTTTCATTTAATGGTAAAACAACAGCAGAGCTCTGAAAGTTAGCCATCTGCGCGGAGTTTGCCTTCTTTAAGGAGGGAGGCGTCAGACGATATCCATTTAAATATATTTTGTACTTCCACAAAGGATGGAAAGGGAAATTAACGAAGGGAGTGGAGGCGGAAAGGGAGCTCCGAGTAAGAAGGAGGGGTCATCCCGCGGGGGGGGAGGGGGCGGGGGCCGAGGGCCAACGCAGGGGAAAGAGTTGTTCTCTACACCGAAAAGGGACTTTGACCTTCCATTGATCTCTCAAAATTAAAAAACGTTTCTTCACAGGTCAGATTGCAAAAAACGCTCGTTCCTAATTTATGAACTCGTCGTTTTGATTTTATTATTTAAGCATGCGCCAGCAATCGTGTTTCCTTAAGAAAGAACTGACCTATTTTTGGCTGGAGATAAACGATCATGTTAACAGATGTTAATCTTGTAATCTGTTTTTCCTGTAAACACTTTACCTACCCGGGTTTCAGACCTTAAAAATAACATCTTTTCCAAAAAGACCTGACGTCACAATTCACTCCCTGAAAAATCACACTCCCCCTCCGGTTTCTTCCCCTGCAATGATTTCAAAGACATTAAATCTTTTCCACTTTATAAATGCTGATCTGTTCTGCCTCTACTCCCACAGGCTCTTATTTGCATTTCAAATTCCACAGGTTACACCAGTCGCCTTTTCAAAAAATGTAAACCAACAATGAAGCAGCAAATGGCTTTTTGTGCATCTGGATTAAATAAAGCACAGAATGAATATATTTGAAAAGAGGACTGCGCAAGTTGATCTTTGCACACCCAGAGACCCAGTGACTCTTTATCAGCGGAATGAGTAAGACACACAGCCCCCAGAGCTCCCTGTCTGATCCCGGTCTGCTGCGGGAAGCTTATTAACGCTGATAATAGATGGGGCTGACTTACAGACCCACATTTTTCGGATAAAAGGCTGGTTCCCTCTGGTCCCTAATTGCGGGGGTCCACTGGCTTTCCTCACCGCACACATAAACTGCTGCTTTTAAATACCCCACTCGGCTGCAGTTTAACAAACTTATTCATACAAAGTTTCTTTAAAACTTGAGGCGGCTTAATCTAAATACTGATCGTAACTATTCAGTCTGTTAGTTCTCCCTGGAAATGGCAGCGGAGGCGCCTCCCCCCACCTCCCGCCCAACCACACACACCCCACCGCATTCTTCCTTCATACACCCGGGTTCATCTCGCCACCGAGGCCTCCCCCACCCGCACCCGGCGGGGCGCAGCTCCGAGGAGTCCCTGCCCACCCCTCTCCGAGTCGGTGCCAGACCCTCGCCCCCACCCCCACCCCCGCCCGAACTTCCCTTCCAGGACCTCTCACTTCTTTAACGTTAGGGTCACTTAGAAGCTCCCCGCAGACTGGCAAGCAGCCGGGGAGGGGGCCGTAAAAAACAAGGCCACCCCCCCTCCACGCAAATACGTCCCCTAGGCAGCAGCGCGCGGTGCCCACAGGCATCGATCCCATCCGCCAAACCCTTAATAATTGAAGCGGCTCCTCGGGCCCGCAGCCCCATCACCCACCTTCATTAGCCGGAGCGTTTTACTTTAAAGTAAGGCAATTTGCTCTTTGTCTCCTAATGGATGGAGAGCGCATCCGAGCTCCCCTCCTCCCGCGTCGCCTTTGACGAAGTGTACAAAGCCAGAGCCTCTTCCGCGCTCCCACCCCGGCCCCCACCCCGCCCCTCCACTGCGGTAAAAACCACCTCCCGGGCGCTCGCCCCGCCGCCCGAAGTTGCATCTTCCCCTATCCTGGAATTGCAGAGCAGAGCAACTACCCACAGGGAAAGCCAAGTAGC